GATTCTACCTTTCGATCACACACACACACACACACACACACACACACACACACACACACAATAGTGCACTGAATAGCAGAAGAGGCAAAGCTTTTAGGAACGAAGCGTGAAGAAGTGACAGTATTAGAACTGGAGAACTGTTCGAGGCCTAATCAGGAAAGAGGTGGGAGGAATGCATATGATCTTTGAAGTCACAAGGCTGTTAGTTCAATTAAAAAACACCTCGATGAAGACATGCAACTGATAGACAAGAACTTGCACGTGTCAAGGAAACCTCATTGCGAATCAAAGCTGACAAAACACTTAATGATTTGTTTCTCATCTTCGCCATTTATATATGGGACTTACTCACCTAACAAAAATAGACAACTGTTTAGCCAATTTACGATATTTTAGTTTAAATGAAGCTGTGAAGGTCGCAATTCACATATCTATGAGTGAAATTTTGAAAGAAATCTGACATACCGGAATCCCCTTGATCGTAGTTGTAATTGGTAAACATAGGACATGGAGAGTGGTGATCCGTTTTCAGTTGGGGCGTCTTTTCTGCGGACGGCGATCTTTCTAAGTTTTCATGTTGTTTCGTTGCTGCAGCAGCATCGATCACATCATTAACAACATTGTTCTTCTTTAAATTACGCCGTTTAGCCCAATGGCGAGCGCGACCAAAAGCTCCACGACGACGACGACTGGTGGTGGATAGTTTAGGGACTTTGTTTGTGTTGGATCGTCTGTTGTAAAAAGAAATCGAGGAATTAACGGACGAGCTCGAGTTGAAATAACCAGAACTATGTTGAACGACAATGGTTAGGATCAGAGAGAAGTAATCGACCTATAGATCACGACAACTCTTAGTTACGTACCAATTGACCTGTTAATCAAGAGATTCATCCTTAAATAAAGTGAGTAAGCAATCACTACCGATAGACACAAAGCTGTTTCATCTATTCCCTGCAATTTGATCTCAAATTCTGTTGGCTGAATTGTGACTTCAGCCACGATGCAAAGTTTAGCCCCAGAGAAAAACATTCACCTGTAAAGTCCGACGACTTAGGAAACAGAAGGTTTCGGCTACAGTTTAAACAACCATTATATTGCACTTTCGTGCGGCCTTTTTAGTTTTTCAGCTACGAATTTGGATGAAGGAGAATAACGCTAGAAGCAGTATCAGTGTCACTGATTTTGAAGTCCCCAACCGAGAGGCCCAATGCTACCAAGATGTACAAGTCCGCTGATCAGGATTTTCATATCCTCCTGAAAGACTTGCTCTGGTAACCCTTAACTTTCAGCCCCAGCATCTATGAAGATCAAGCACTCGCTCCCGTATAGGACCGCAAATGTTAAAATTTTGATCGCAAATTTGGCAATGTTCGTCCGTTCACCCCATCACACTCAAGCATTGCAGTATCCACGGTAGCGTTTGAATTTTAGGGTATCAAGCTTGGATTAGCCCATTCGATTGTTCGGAGGCACCAGGCACTTTTGATGGTCTTTGATGTGGGTTTCACTCCTTGGGAGATCGTTAATTCCCCACGAGACAATGCATTCAAATGCGATGGAAATGTTTGTGGTAACCAACAAGGAGCACTGGACAGTTGTTTCGTCCCATTTAGGACTCGTCAGCAGTGCATAGATTTTGTGACGAGTCCCAAACAGGATGAAACAGCTTTCCAGTGTTCTTTGTGGCTTATCACAAACATTTCCATCGCATTTGAATGGTGGTGTTTGAACACCAATAGTCTACTCTTATCCTGTCCCCGAAGCGGTCAAGCCTCTGGATCGTACAGAAGCACCGACGGGATAGTAACAGCAGTATGCAGTCAATTCTTTATGGAAGGTTGAAGGTTAGTTTTCACCAAAATGACTCAAGGTAGCAAAGACCAACCAGTCTTCTGTATGCTGCCCGCGGTTTATCGGTGATGCGTCGACTAAGTGAAATTTAGGTGCTCAAGAACTAAAAGTTAACTATACCTCTTATTGCTTCCTCAGCTAGAACGAAGATGGGGGGTGGATTCACGCAAGTCCAAAATAAAATTTGACACACTGATGGTGATAAATACATGAGGAATAGAGAAAAACCGAAAATGTGTGATTGATGTGAGCCAGTGTAAACAAGGGCAGCAAATGAGAGTAAACGTAAACTGTTTACACCCTCCGCTATCTCAAGTATAAACGGATGAAACACATCTGGTGAAGCACTTCAGTGCCCGGTTGTGACTTATCACTGGCTTAGATACGAATTAGTCACCAGATTGAGCGGACGAAAAGCCAGTATCATCATCAGGGTCTACAAGAGGATTGACGAATCAGTGGCAGTTCACCTAAGAGAGTTGGCTAAAAACTTGGATTCCAACCAAGAAGAAACGTGTGAGCTAAAAATCAAGTCTTCCTGGTTGTAGAGGTGATCACCGGCTCAATCAGGCTACCAAGATGTATAGGGCACTGGGGACATTTGATCCCGTCCAAAGGGTGTATGATCCGATGAACTGGATATCGGCTCTCAATGAACTGCGGTGCTCACACCGCCCCACTCTTTTGCGGGTCAGGCTTGGCTAACCTAAGACTCCGATTGGGAATTCCTCAAGAAAATTTACCCACCTTTGCCTGGGCAACCTGGCAGCATTCTGCCCGCATACAAATCACGGAACTTTTTTCGTTTTATAAAGATTATTGTACCGTGATTTGTTTGACACTCAGTGTCCTCCAACGTGTGAAGTATATGCTAACCAAATGATGAACTTACATTGTGTGTGACGGTCTCTTCTTAGAGGCCTCCAGGTTTTGCGAACCTGAGAAACGACGGTTAGTAGTGGAAAAAACAGCTGATGAACTTGACCGCTTTATTGAGGATGTATGGGAAGGAACGACACTAGGATCAAAACGACTAGGAGTGTAGACGATCCGTTTTGCTGGACGGGCGACGGGAGTTGCCTGAAAAGTGGGTTTGAAATGGAAACAAATAAGTGAGATAAGATATAGACGATAAGAAAGATAGAAATTGCACTTAGTTCTACTGGGATTATTTACCCTACACTTGTAACATCAGAACCATAAACAATTTTTGCTTGAATGGAATTGAGGTGAGCCGAGTAACCAGTCCTTCGAATAATACTGAACACGTACACAAGTGATTCGTGAAGAGTAGGCTGGATATTCATCCAGTTGGCGACCTGCTAAGAATTGGTTCTATTTGGACCCCCAAAAATGGGTTAAGTTTATCAAATAACGACTAGTGTTATACAAGCTACAGCTCTACCGACCGAACTGCAATGTGGGACTACATCTTTACCCATCAAGCTTTAGCCGAAACCCGCAAACCTTTAGCCTCGATTCGTAATCCCTTAGCCAAAACCCGAAATGCTTTAGACAAAACCTACAATCCTTCCGTCTTGACCTACATTCCTTTAGCCAAAATCCGTAGTCCTTTAGCCTCGACGCACAAAATTTAGTCACGCATCAGTAGGCGAGTCAGATCAAAAAATATCGGAATATTCTGAAGTCAACGAAAAAAGTTATTTTCTATAAATGTTGATGATGCAGAGCTTGGTTAAGGAATAAGAAAGTGTGGGGGTTGCATACTGCAACACGTTGATTGGAAAAGGTGTAAACGATGTGCCCGTAACCTCAAATTATTTGACACATCTCGCACAGCTTCAGCGTTTCTGTATAACATATGACACTCCTAGGAGTAAAAATCTCAAGTGTAACTCAAACGGCACATCTTTTTATATTCACAAATGAACTCTGATCATCAGAAGGAAATACATAAACGTGTTGAGGATAATAAACCGCTCGTAAAAGTACATCCTCATAACTGTCATCAGTTTGTTAATGCTGCAACATGTCATAACTACCACGGTCGAAGCTTAATTATTAGGAGTTTTTTCTATAGCTTCATGGGAAACAGTGTTCAAAAGGGGGGTCTTTTGTGATAAATGTTTATTATCCTCGGCCAGGCAATGTATCCACATCTCAAGAACAGAGTTCACTTTAAATGGATATAAGAAACGGTAAGCATATACCTTATAATTTGTTTCAGGGCTTGTGAATGCAAAACAATGTATCGTTTGAATTACACTTGAGATTTTTACTCCTAGGAGTGTCATATGTTATACAGAAACGCTGAAGCTGTGCGAGATGTGTCAAATAATTTGAGGTTACGGGCACATCGTTTACACCTTTTCCAATCAACGTGTTGCAGTATGCAACCCCCACACTTTCTTATTCCTTAACCAAGCTCTGCATCATCAACATTTATAGAAAATAACTTTTTTCGTTGACTTCAGAATATTCCGATATTTTTTGATCTGACTCGCCTACTGATGCGTGACTAAATTTCGTGCGTCGAGGCTAAAGGAATGTAGGTCAAGACGAAAGGATTGTGGGTTTTGGCTAAAGAACTACGGGTCGAGGCTGAGGCAGCGAAGTGATTCAGAGACGCCCCTTCCCCCGTGACACAATTCCAACAGACCTTAGGTTCGGTGAAACGTTTTGGTGACTTTTGGGAGCTTGCTGGTGAATTACAACTAAGCGATTTTTCCATTATGGACAACGCTCAACGGAATCCATTGTTCATATAATGAACCTTATATGCTTGGCACCAGGCTTACTCGCGGGTAGAACCGAACTGAAAAGCTGAGGCACTACTGTACAGCTGTTCCAACCTCCCTGGATCTCATTCGCAGTGCGAATCCCTTTAGCCTACCAGAAACCGAATCCAAAACTTCACAGGTAGAACGCAAGTATTGGCGATGTGACCCACCAATAACGAGACTGTCATCTATATAGATTCATGGTTCACGTCTTCTTTGCTATGTAAACGACGAAATTCATCATGTAATCAAATCAACTCGTTCAAAACTGATTTGGAATCTGTTGTTTGTTGCAAAGATTAGTGATTAATGCACCCACAATGAATAGTGAGTTCTGAACATCCTGATGTGGATGAAATCAGGTCGCCTCGTTGGAGTGTCCCGATATGATCATCTATTTGCCCCACATAAGTGCCACGTCTTTGTTCTCCGGCACTGGTCACATTGAACAGTTACTGACATGTTTTGGCACTAGGCCGCTACTGTCGCGGAAAGACTGTTCGTTTGGTAGCATTTGGAAGCAGTATCGAATAGACAATGATGGGTGAACAGTACAGACTGTCGTTTCCACGGCGAGATAATTGCATAATATTTCACCTCCGGCGGTTTAGGCACTACGCACACATGTGGGTTCAACTAATAGAGGGGCTTCAATATTGGATGCAGAATAAACATCTGATTCACACAGTCTCTACCTAGATGAAAACATCCTCGATTCAAACATGTGTGTCGATCTTTGGCAGCACAAAGCCATTCAGAAACATCACAGGTCTTTGCCCCAATATCGATGATGATCTTTCGATAGTTCTCACACCGATTTGTTACCTTTAACGGAAATGGATGCAAGAATGGAAGCGTCCCATTTAGTTGGGAACATTTTATTTTGTCCAATGTAACCAAACAGTATGTTCTGTTTATTAGTGACCGTAAACAGTTCTAAGAGACTTTAGGAGGTATGCTATGCTAATCACCTACTCTCAAGTTTTCCCGTTGGTCGATGACAGCAGTGATTTCTCTTACGTTATTACTGAGTTCG